TAAAAGGAAGTGGAACTGACAATTCTATTTCAGAGAAATTCAACAGGTAATGGATTCTGGAAAATGAAGCATTCTTCTACCCTCGTTGTCAAATTATCATTACGATGTTGTGGCACTACCAAATGAAAGGAAATGTTAACCACCATTAGATGTATCCGACTACGCCACCCTGGTGGGAGGCCAGGGAAATAACTCCCAATAAAAGGGCACACAGGTAAGTTTCACCAATTGAAGGCGAAAAAATAAGGGAGACGCGAGTATCAATACAAGAAATACACTTTATTATAAAATCACCGGCATCAAGTAAAATTCTCTCACGAAACACACCCACAATGGTAGAAATAGTTCCCCGGGCCAGGAGTAATGAGAACAAGGCAGGCCGGCTGCAACTCAGGAGGTCGTTCAAAACCCACCTCAGTTCACACCACGCACACCCACACTAGGGAAATTGTATCAAAGCACAAACACAGCACACAGTGAAACACCACCAAATAAAAGCAGCTAGCCTCCCCCGTTCCACACAAGTCCTCACTGGCCCCTGGGGAGAGAAACATTATTAAAGAAAATCATACTAAATATTATTAATAAAAAGAGCCACCGAAACAATAAGTTTACAGACACTGTTGTGGCAGCCTTGACAATCGGGCCTCCAGATGACACCACATACAAGACTAAATGGCACTAGAAAGATGGGGCAATTAAGAAAAAAAAAAAAACACTTTACCATAAACAATACACAGCCAAAAAAAATAAGTAAACTAATGTTATAATATAGCTGCAAAATAAATCAAAACAAACACAAAAAAAAACTAAATAGCCGCAAAACTAATCCAATAAGTATAGCAAAAAATTGACTCTGTTGACAAAGAAAATTAAATCAAAGAAATGAAACTAGTAAAAAAAAAACCTGCCGGCACAATGCTCAGACGCTAGCGTTAACAGCCCCAGCGACTCGCGGAGCAGCAAAACCGTAACCGCACAGCTGACTGTAAACGACACGATCAAAAAAATAAAGAAAACAAAATATATCCATAAGCAAAACAGCAGCGTCGTCGTCGCAAGAAGTCCTTGCTAGGAACAGGGCTTGAAAATCTTGATCTTTCCCCTTTACCTTTAAACCAGAGTACCAGAATTAATCTAAATTTACAAAACCCCAAATGTGAAAAACAGGAGAGGCATACTCACGAGTTATGTTGAACCAACACTAGACGCACAGCTGTATGGCTACTCACTACCGGTGAGGCAACTCAGTCTACCAGCCAGCATTCACCCACCTGCCCTCGTCGCTAGCACCGAGCACAACAAACAGTAAATACCACGACTAAGGTGGTCATAAAAATTAAACACCAACCATACCTGCAAGCGAACTCTGCCACGACTTCCCGCAACGCCAACGACACCAGCCCCACTCTAAATTAAACTATAAACAGCGTATATTAACCTCGCAACAGACGCATCATTACACCATCAGCAGAAACTCAACGTACCTGGATAGGAATGGGAACGGAAGAGGAAGTGCCAGGGAGAGAGAGAACCCCAAGTCAGCAGGAACGTATCCCCCCCGTCAAAATAAAGGTCCTAAAATAGTACGGCTGCTACCACCTCATTGGTCTGCCAATCATACCCCAACCAACCAATCAGATGAAAGGACTTATCCTGCCACACGATCTTTAGATTAAATCACCATTGGTAGCGCGCTTTATTGTAATGCTTTGCTTTTTTCTTCAGTTGGTCAGAACAAACGTGGCAGACTTGTTACTTACTTGTTCAGATGGCAATAT